GTTAATGATTGTTTCAAGGTTTCAATTGCCTTACAGATGTAATCCCTTTTTAGTGCAAAGTTGGTTTGAAAATTTCCAGTATTATTGTGAGTAGCCAGCCAGTCAGTCATACATTCAGGTTTTTCCATCATTCACTTGTCTTATTTAACAATTCCTTAGCCCTTTTGCGCCATGTTCACAAAAAAATATCGAGGAATCTGTGTCGTTGCTGTGAATTTTACAACATTGCTTGATTTGCTTCTCTGTGGTGTGGTTTGGTAAGGAGGAACTAATCCCCTCCCTGAGACACCTAATTTTTTCTTGCGCATGTGCTGTCAAGACCTTGATCAATATTCACGATATATCGATAGACGATAGGAGCAACGAGCGGCATAGGGTTGCTTCGAGGTTTAAACATTTCTGACACAAAAATCGAGTAACTGTAAATCCTCCAGAGTCTATATACGAAGTTTATGAGTTTGTGTTATGCATTGGGACCATGAATGAAAATAAAATTTATCAAATAAAGAACTAGCAGAAACAACGCTGTGTTGTTTAGACATCTCTAACGTGAATATAGTTGTTGATACTTGTTATTTTTACTCAGTAAATAAACTATTTAGCACTATGAAGCCTGGATATTAGATGCAGTATATATAAAAGCGCTAGACCAGCCTGCCCAGGGGCCGGTTGTATATGAATGCCCAAAGCCGGATAGCGCTACCACCGTGTGCATAAAAAAAGCACGACCTATAATAATTCTGATAATAATAATGAATATAAAATAAAAGCATGGTTTGTCGGTGATTTTTTTAAACTTTGCATGAGAAAATAAACTGAAAGAATTCAATAAGGGCAATATCGCGGCTAATTTAATTTGAGTACTTTTAGGTATTGCGTAATTTGAGTACTTAAAAATTTTCAAATTTTCCATAAATTATCGCAATACTATTAGGAATGAACTTTCCGTTTGATTCGGGAATACGTTTAACCTTATACTTTATATTTCAAAAACCTGGTTACGTTGGGGCAGTCGTCTGCTTGCCTACATAGCCAGTTAAGTATCGGGAGGGCGCCAAATCTTTGCAATGTCCTTGGAACCGTGGTTTATATTCAAGTCACTAAAAGTACGAAAAAACTGGTACTCATAATTTGTGACAGCAGCGGATGAAAAATTCAGGCCCATGGGCCCATCACCTATATACCATAGGGAGAAGCGGGGGGGGGGGGGGTGTGTCCGTAAATATGTCGAAATGCAATGAAGGGGAGTTCTTCAAAACGACGTTCTCCAATGTATATATATATATAGTTGCTTTATCCAGTGTACTTTCAGGTCAGTGCACAACGCTCTCCCTGAGTGTTATCCGACCTATACAATCGAATACCTTGTATATATATATATATTGACTGTGAATGAACTTTTACAGAGAGCAAGAATAGTAGCGGCAGCCAAGGGACTTGAAAATTATGATATCGTGAATATCAAATTACGTGATGATCTCCCGGAGTGGTATCTTGCAATCAATCCAGCTCGTTCGGTGCCCTCCGTTGAATTTCCTGATGGTCGCACTGTTAATGAATCTCTTGTTGTTGCAGGTATATACATGCTGTGTGTTACACGTACATAATAAACTACTTTTAGAATAGCTTTATCTGCAACCCTGCCTAAAGTATTTGCCTAGAGTATATTCGAATGCGTATCGACCTCGTTCATTCGTTAGGATTGTCAGGTCAGTGAAAGCCAACGCCCATAAGACCGAATGTTTATAGGAATTTAATACGGCTCTTTCGTGTATAGATTTCAGCAGGAGTTTTGTTGTTTATTTTTATCTGCAGCCCTTATTTTTTCCACCATTTTTAGATTTGCTTGACGAACTTTATCCCGAGAAACAATTACAACCAAAGGATCCCATTGAGAAAGCCAAACAAAGAGTTTTTGTCGAAAAATACGGGAAAACGGTTAGTTTGAGCTGCAATTTTAGATTGTATCCTTTGCTCCCTTTTTATCTATAGGTAAGAGGTGACATAAAGAAGCAGTTAGTGCAACAGTTTTTTTTTTCATGGTTATCATGGATTTTCAAGTTATCGCTGTTTTTCATATTGTTCACACTATTTTCCTTGTATAGTTTTATGAAATAGGTGAAATAGATTCATATTTATTATTCTACAGTTCATTCCACCATATTACAAGCATTTGAGAGAACGTACCGAGGAAACCAAAGCAGATTTGGCAAAGAGTATTTGCGAGGTTGAAAAATATTTAGCTGATAAGAAAGAAAAGTATTTTGGAGGTAGGTAAATTAAAAATTGTTTACTATTGACGCTGATTTTATTATTTTTAACAGGCGAGTCAACAGGAATTTTAACCGTATTTGAATGATTTTTTTAATAGATTCTACATTATCTCTTTTGAATGAATGTTAACGTTATGCAAATTTTATCAGTGATTTTCTGCACATCCTTATCAGAACAATTGATACAAACGCGATCTTCCCCGGCAGTAGCTAGTTCAAAATCCGGCTATAGCTATAGGCTTGAAGTGGCAGAATGTTATATACAGTAACTCAATAGTGTAAAGGTTAAAGCAAGTTGATGTACAGGAAGTTGCATGATGTTTAGCGTATTAGAAAAATAATCTTGTAAATTTGAAAGAATCAAACCTACCCGCGAAAGAGTACAGTTTTACACGGGGTCAATTTAAGAACTACTCCCTGAGTGTTGATGCATGTGTGTGTCTCGACGAAGTCCCCTCTTTGGAATCAAACTTGTAATTGAAATATGATAATATTCAAGGTCTTGTCGTCACGACAAATGCCATGCATATATTGTATCGCTACACTGCATGGGTATACTCTTTATTTCTGGCATCTTAAAAAACGACACTTTCTTATCCAGGTAATCAGGCAGGAATGCTGGATTTCATGGTATGGCCTTGGTTCGAACGCCTTCCTACTATATATAGTCTATCTGCTGACGCCTATCCATGTCTGGCAAACTGGTTTAACCTGATGCAAAATGAGCCTGGAATTAAAGAAACCGCATTTTCAAAAGAGAAACACTTGAAATTTTACGAGGGATATCTCACTGGTAAACTTGAGTATGAGTTAGAGTAATTGACGTTGCTTTCTTTATAATTATGTATTTTCAAACATGAGCGTACTCGCTCTCTCCGTAAAGTTTAATATTGCCATTATGGGAGCCAGTTATGTCTGGTGAATCATGTATGTAGTTAATAGAAATAAAATTGATGGTTGCAGGCTATATAAACAGACTCTTCAATTACTCTAATTTCATCCAATCAATGCTCATATATAGTGTTTTATATAAGTTTTTTAGAGCTGGGTTTAGTATTTTTCATTTTCCTGTTTTGAAAAGTTTCAATCCAAAGGAATAATGAACTCTCTTCTAACTTAGGCCATGTGCACACGAGCGTCGTTTTCGAGCGTTTTCAAATAGTTTTAGTCTATTTTATTGTTTAGACGCCCTGCCCATGTTGTAGTTAGCATTTAGCTCTCCTCTCCATGGGGACCACGACAATGAAGAACGCCATGTGTTGTTGTTAAGTATCTCTAGGTCTTTCAGTAGGTTTATATCTTATAAATTGCATGTGCTAATGAGCTTGTAAGTCGTTGTTATTTAAAAAAAAGGAATCAATAAGAGCAATTTACCACAGTTTGTATTCTCATCTGTAGCAAAAGACGCTACATCCACACGATCTAAGAGAAAATATGCCTATAATATGATAAATTGGCTTCAACTTCTATGGTAAATTGACGATGTTTGAGACCGTTTTGGCATGTACACGATCGAAAACGTTACTGTGTGCACATGGCTTTAGACATGTTTTGTCAAAATATAATCACTCTATCAACTATTTTTTGTCTTTTCAAAAGGGGATTAAAGAGTTCCTGGGCTTTTAAATATTCTGGCTGTAATGTTCTTTTGCGACCTCGTTTTTTTTCCTATTATGAGTTAATTTTGCCCGTATGCCAAAAAATCACTTATTTTTGTATGCATGTCATGCTTTAACATTTCATATTTTGTACATGTATGCTTACGTCTGCAGAAGACCATAATTGGCATGTTCATCGACATTCAAATGTTTCGTCTAAGCTGGGCTAAAGGCCCACACACACACTTCACGCGATTCGCTAACGCGACGCGAATTTTTCCATTTCAGAAGCAAATAAATTCAATTCCGAACGAAAATTTTGAAAATAGGTAATTAGCAAGAATATCACAGCATTTTCAAAATGAGCAAATTTTGAAAACTGAAAAATTCGTGATATTCGCGTCGCGTTGGCAAATCACGTCCGGTGTGTGTCGGCCTTAAGAAAGCAGGAAGTTATAAGAGAACACGCACAAGACGAGTGTATTGTGCATGTTAACTATACGTAATTTGTATACATAAAGACGTGCAGAATGAACAAAGAAGCTCAAGGAAAGGGTTTTTTGTGTTTACTTCCCAACCGCAATTAACTTTGTTTAACTTTTGGTATTGGCTTCATAAACGTCATCACTATATTATGTACTTTCCACTTACACATTTTTCATACGCACGTACACCAAGGGAAAATTTATTATTTATTCAACAAATGCGTATTAAATATGAAATCCAAAATTCAAGAATTGTTATTGTTTCTTTTAAAGCGACAATAACAGAGATTATAATCGCACATTCTTGCCGGATTCTTCTTCTTCCACAATAACAAACAGACAGTGTATAATGGCAAAGTCTTTAAGTCCCCGCATATTGAACTTTCAAAGGTACATGCATGTGTATACATCACTGACAAATCTAAAAACCGATTCCGAGAATCATCTGCCAATGACATATTCTTGTACAAATGGTTTATAAGTTTCCCACGAAATTCTTTCATAGCGCGCCTATTTATCTTTCATGCATGCCTGGAATGCCAGCATGATGTCTGAATATGTCGCTTTTTTACAAATGACATATCATTTGGATTCGAGTTCTTAATTTATAGATATTTAGATATTATAGATGTTTAGATTATATATCACTCAATGAAGAAAGGTAAGTTTTTTCTGATATACTCTATTTTAAACGCAACCAGGTGCCGGTTATTATCAAAATTATCTATTTATTGAACGACTGGAAGTCAGCAAATTCACTAAAGGTAATATATATAACCAGTGACACATGCCGCGTTTAGAGGAAGGGCATGTGTAGATGTGTCTGGTTGCATGGAGTCACGTATAGAACACAGACAAATAGTTTCCTGGTGCGCGTCTTTCGCATGATACAAACTAAAGTCCAACTATTTAAATACATTTTGCTTCCTAAAATGCAAAATGAGACATTTCTCGAGTAGACATCTTGTGTTCTTGATATTCAAGATAAATCTGATATTTCGTCTCTATTCCGGTAACCTATATGTAATGCAATTTACAAATTACGTGGCGGAGATATTATATTACAAGGCGATACTGTGCGATACTAATGGTTAGAACAATGAAATTTTTTTACAGGCATTGAGACCCCAGTTAAGTCGTGGCATATTAGGTTTGATTAATAGCGCTTCTATACATTAGGAATTGATTAGGATTGTTCAGCGGTATAAAATTTTAGTATTAGATAAAATTAGATTGCAAGGATTACAGAATAGGTTATAGTAAAGTCCTCTTTAGAGTCAATGCATGTCAAGAAATGATGAAAAGGCAAGAGATATAGCACTAGAATTGTTGTTGAGTGCTGTACGCCACGAATTTAATAGTCGATTTAAAAGTTACGTTCGGTTTTGCCTATGTACGTATTGCAACAACCAGGGCATTTATATTCGTACACGACGATATTGCTAGTTAGTTAATCTGAATCGAATTCTGTGTATTCATTATTTTTCAAAAAAGATCGATATCAGTAAACTGATGGTATCAATTGAAACGAAGTGGATAATTATGCTCTTAAGTTATATATAGAAATTTAATCGTTTTCCTAACAGACATCTCGACAATTCTAAAAGCATTATGCTAAATTAACATCTTACTGCCCTTGGTCTTATGTTTTCTGTAGGTACGTTCATAAGAATGGATTTTGTTTTTCAAGAATTAATATTTTGTTGTCTTGTACTCGCAGGAGGTAAGATTGCGATAAAAAGACTTGAATTTAGCAATTGTCTTGCAGTTGTACTGATTGTAAACATGATAAATCACCGGCAGCCACGAGCATGCACTTAAATTTTTCAATTCTCGTCTTTAGCATCTGCTCTGAATAGTGGTCTTGAAAAACAAGAATCAAGTACGCACCCATTGATGGCAACTCGTACGAAAAGAGAGGTTTCGGAATTGCTTAACAACAGCGCAAATGGAACTGATGAAGGTAAAGTTACCTTTAGAAACTAAGCTAGAAGCTTAAATATTCCTCTTATGCTTGACTAATTTAGTTTGAAAGCGACTGTTCGATCCTAAGCTAGTGCACGTGGTTTGGGAACTGAGATTGACCTAAAGGTCTGTTCACACGATCCGACAATATTGCCAGTAAATAAGTGATTTTGTTATTATATCTAGAGTCAAAATGAAAATAAACCGGAGGCCAAAGTAGAGCCAATTCCTAGACATTACCTGTACAGATTAGAATAGGAAACAATATAAAATTTACTTCAAAAACGGTAAAATTCTTTGTTCTCAAAAATATACATTTTCGCCACTTTCCTGTGGTTTGCACGGTCGCATTACTAGAGAAAGCATAGCAACGGGTATCAAGTTTCATAATATGCCCTGGAGAAAATTATGAAATTCGATGCCCGCTCGTGTTGATCACGCGTGATCATGGAGATTGGAAGCCCTACACGCGTGGACATTTTGTCCAATAGGAAAGCAGAAAAGATGAATTTTAACACTAGGTATATAACAAAGTATGTTGAGTTGCAATGTATATGGGCAAGAAATCAACTAATTAAAGACAATGCAGTACTGCTTTATCAAGAACAAACTACATTCCACACGTCATAGGTGAATTGGTTCCAACAAATTCGGAACGTCTGAGCCTTAACGTAAAGCAAGTTAAGTGATAATTAGGATTACCCGAATATAGTTTTTAAAAAATTCTAAGGCACGATGAATTGAATAATGAACACTCATGCAAGGACATTGGATATTGTAAAGTGGTTGTGGTGGGGTAACATTTTTATATTCATGTTAGCAGACAGTAAAAGCAATCAAATTCAAAGGAACTAATAATGCTGAATATGTAGAGTAACTCCCCTCCCCCCAACAATCGTGCTGGCTATGGGCTGTTCACATGAGCCCGGTTACCGAGATTTAACTAAGCGTAAAATGGACTTGAGGTATTGAAAAAAAACAATCACATGCTATTGTTAGGATGATTGCATGTCTACCGTAATCGTGTTATATTTACCCAATGCAGTGCCCCAAAGACCATTAATTTTCACGCTTCGTCAAATCTCGGTAACCGGGCACTGAACAGTCCCTTAAATGCCTTTCAAGGGACAAGATTTTTGTTTAAAATAATTACTAATTCGTATAATTATTATTGAATCAACTCTTGTCCAATCACACCAGCTATACGGCAAATTAAAATTTTAAAACTTCCAAGTCCAACGAAGCTCAGTCAAACACTCTCTTGAAAATAATTTTTTACCATATTTGTTTAATTTTTACTGCGTTTTTGAATGCTTACAGCGGAAATCTGCTATTATTGCACTGAATTAGTGTAATTCTAAAGCCAGTGACAAATGACTGGTGACTTCTGATATTTCTCACATTTCAGACATAAAGGAATGTACGCGAAAAGTTGACCTCGGGTTTTTGATAGACAGTTCCGGCAGCGTCAAGGAGGAGGATTTTGAAAGAATGAAAACATTCGTGAAACGTCTTACTGACCATTTCAAGATTTCACCGAATTTCACAAGAGTGGCTGTGATAACGTACAATTCGCGTATAAATGTGCGTTTTCTATTTTCTCAACTGTTTGAATCTCAAAATGAGTTGGATACAGCAATCGATGAAATTGGATATACTGGAGGTGGCACCAACACAGGTGCAGCGTTGACTATAGCATATACGGTCATGTTTAATCCTGTTAACGGCTGTCGTCTTTCAGGTTTGCAATTCATTATATTTCAAATATTTTTATAATTATATTATCTCTCTATTATTATAATCTTTCTATAATTTGTATTGCTCTTTGTATTTGCGCCTCGGGCTTTCATTCAATGATCTTCAATGCAATTTTTTTGTAAGTGTTAAATCTAAATTTTTGAAATTGGGGTTTATACAGTTCGGCTCCTTTTTCTTCTTTGATTCTAATTTTCTTGAAAAACAGCATCCATGTTCTTATTAATTAAAATTGGTTGGGATAAGAAAAGGAAAGTACAACGGAAACTAAACACGCCAATGCTGTCTGGATTTTTACGTTTGTTTGTGAAAATTTTTTCAATGCTGTGCTTTTTCCAGTCAGGGGTTTTATTGTCGTTGAAAATATTAATTTTTCCGCCATCATGACACGATGAGGCGCGGCTTACGGGTAGTACTGCAGCTCCTCGCAAGAATTATTTTCATTAGCTGAACTTAACAATACATTTCTGTTTCAACCAATTGCATAGCTTCGTTCTTTAGAAAGCATAGAAAAGCATTATCCAACTGAACGAAAGCTTCCGAGAACTGCGACATGTCCCCGACATACAAAATATATATGGGGACCTGGCGTGGCCATGCACCATGTCATTTTTTTTCCTGCCATGTAAATTTTGAGTTAATATATTTATTCCTATTTTTAGAAATCTATTGTTTTCACAATCAATGAACACCAAAATATTAACATAGCGAAACAAATCGACGAGTTTTTAGCTCTCAGTAAAGCACCATTCCTCAGATTATTTTCGTAAGCGTTAAGTTACTTGGCTTTAAAAAAAATTCTCGCTCGGGAATGACGAATTTATGAATATACATCTAGTCTCGGTCATGTAAGTAATTTCGTATTACGGGTGTATACTATAGTATATTTGTGAATAATAAAAACATTGCAATATGTCCTAATTATAGGTTTAAATAATTTAGATGCAGAGAAAATCTTAATATTGTTAACTGACGGGGAAAGTTTTAGCTCTGTTGAAGAACCATCTCAGCAACTAAAGAACATTGGCGTAACCATAATCACTGTTGGAGTAATTACTGATCGTTTTTCGGTTCTACAATTGGAAAGAATGGCGTCATGTCCGCTGACAGATCATTACCATCTTTTGCACAATTTCACTGAGTTTTTCTCTTTGGGTTTGGCAGAGAAGATATCCTCATCAACGTGCAATGGTTTGTTTTAATTTCTGATAATTATCGTAACCTATAGATTAAGCCCCGTTTACACGGTACGAACTTGAACTTAAATTGAACGGTTAAAACGGTTTAAATTGAACTCGTTTAACTGGTACTATAGCAGCGTTTACATGACCATTTTAAAAAAATTTATAATGATCTGCGTACAGGTAGTGCATGCGTGCGATTTTATAAGTTCGTTGAGAGAACTTGCACGGTCAAAATTTTGGACAATATATTTTTAAATTTGGCGGACTGCAGAAATACCCAAGGTAGAAAATTCGGTTACCAAAACGTTTCTAAACAGCTGTTCTAGCTATCCATCTAGAGGTCAGCAAACATTGACCTTGGCTATAACGTTACGACGTTTTATATTTCACTGAAATGCTCTTTATAGTAAAACTCGAAGGCCATTATAAATGGATTAAATGCAAATTAGCGGACAAACGTCAGCCATTTTGTCGCCAATTTCTAGTAATGAAGAATTACACCCTTATAGTTATCACATTCAAATCCAAATCAATTGGATTTCTATGACAATTTTTTGGCATTTTATCCATTGAGGATCAATTTCGGGAGAGTAAGATAGTTTAGAACAGAATTTAATAAATAAAATGCCAACCCAAGCAGATAAAATAACATACCACCGATAGTCACGGATGGAAAGTGTTGGTAGCCGGTGAAGAAGAAAATAACAAAACACTTGCTTTCGTCGGCTGAATCAGTGAAATATAAGAACCAGGCTAACTACGCTTGCTGTTTTTAGCTAACTCGTTAGATTTGGATGAGAACGATGGATGTATGCATTGGCATCGCAAAGAATAGGTTTAACTGTTCCTGTATTGTATTGATGCGATTCCAAATGAAGACCAATAATCCTTTAGAAATTATAAACCAACGGTTTGATTGTCAACATATTTAAGGAGGGCGACCGACCGGCCACCTCAACAATCTTATGGAGATACTGAGGAAATATTTGTATACTTCCATCTTTCCGCGAAATCATTACGAAACAATCTTATCGAGGTAAAATGTTGAGAAATTTACTCTTTCTTTTGCAGCAAGCTCGTACAGAGTTCTATGTGAGAAACATAACATCACAGTGGTGATTGGAAGGAACGATGTATCGCATCTTGATCTTGACAACCTGCATCTTGCTGACAGCACGTGTAAAGCAAAATACAACGAAACACATGTGTATATCACAACTGGATTGAACGAATGTGGAACGACGTATTTTGAGAGGGGACAGAAAATGCATTATAATAATACCTTGAGAACATCTGACTCAGAAATTGGAAAGGAGGGTTCATTTGCATATCAGTTTAGTTGCACTTACGGTCGTTCAAGAAATATCAGTGGATTGCAATTTCAACGTTCGAAACAAGTTGTCGAAGTCACACAACAAAGTAAGTGTTTCAACTAAAAATATGAGTGAACAATGCTAGATCGATACTCTCATAGACAGGGTTAGAAAATACTTTTGCCTGCGGTGATTATCAAATCCACATGTTATTGTGTGGACTATTTGTGGTTTATTCTCTGGTTAGTTTCACCTTGCCCAATGAAGTAGAATATTTTGTGGCATTTTTATATTTTTTTTTTGAGTCAATGGAAAAAATTGTTTTCTATTTACAACTTTGTAATCCCGTGTTTACAGATCGTCCTCTCAACAGCACATCCCGAGTGCAACCCGACTCCTTGAATACGGATTGCTCGATAGTGATAAGAAATGATTTTTTCTAGTATGTTTTATAACGTCCCATTTTTTTCTTCATTTTAGATACTTTGAACACTGACTTTTCAGTAAGACTCGAATCTTATGCAGACCCTACATGCCCCTCTACTTCATATGAAGACTTTCCTGCCTTCAAAAGCTTGAATGAACGTATCAACATTCTCTATGATGTTGTCTTTAAAACGAGGAAATTTCACATATTTGTACGCGCCGAAACGTGCCGTGCAACACCAAGTAACAATTCTGATGATAGGCCTCAATATGAATTTATATCCGATGGGTGAGTTTTTATGCCATACACCACTTTTTTCTGGGTGAAAAAGCAAAGAGGAATTTCGTTTTGAACCAATCGGCAAATTTGATTACATTTTTGTCAATACTTTTGAATCATGTAAAATGGTATATAATGCACTTGTTCAACCGAAATAAAATCACGACGTCAAATGCGATGTATGAAATTCTGTTTTTTTCGCGCTAAGATATTAAAACGGGTACATAAAAAAAATTTAGCATATTTAAATGTGCAGCATGGGCTCCTATTGAAATCACGACTGTGGCTATACGTTTTTTGTATTAACATTACCATTTGTTTTTCGAGCTGTGATAAAGATCCAACAATCATCCACCACACAAGCGGTCTTCTGCGCGGTCACCGATTCAGTATCAAAGTTTTCAACTTTTTTCTCAACCACACATTTGTTTACATCCATTGTAACCTAAGATTGTGCGACAAAGACGTCCCTAATACAGTTTGCGCAAGAAGCACAGAGTGTTCCAGCAGAAAGCGCCGTGATACTTCCTTATTCAATGTTACTGACAATGCATACCAACTTTCCATCGGCCCTTTTTTGTACCAGGAAAAGACAAGTGATCAAGGTTTGTCTCGTTTTTTTAGCCTATTTTTCAGCTCACAAATACTAGTGGGGATAACATGGATTTCAAATTTCCAAGTGCTATATTTCAAAAGCTTAAAAAAATTTAACAATAGTCCATGGCAAATTATCTACAGGTAAAAAGTTAGACACTTCGTAAATGTCTCCTTAGTGTACGCGCACGCGCATTTCATCGCTAACGCATAAACAATTACTTAATGGTTTCCGTGTTTTGATGCCCTCATCCAAATAATGTTGGAATGTTGCGAAACTTAAGAACAACGCGCGAAACACGAGCCAAAGCCACTCCCACTTCAGGCTACGAACTAGTTATGAAATCTAATTATTTATATCATTGTTTCTATTACGTAGCAGCAACTCTTTCCTTTGCACAATCAGAGTATACGGTGAACGAAACAACATCCTCGGTTAAACTTTTCGTATTGTTAAATGGAACAATTACTAAAACCGTGACAGCTAGGTGAGAACTTTTTGAATTGTTAAAAAAAAACGTAATAGACTTAAATGTCATAGAGCAACTTACTCATTGTTCTATGTTATTTTATGTTCCCGTTGACATTGATTTTATTCGCATTTATAGCAATGTATTTTTTTGTTAAGATGGACTTCGTTTTGATATTTCACTCTATGTATTTTACAAAAGTTTAAGGCAATTAATATCTATGAAAGAAATGGGAATTAGGCTACAAACATCCAGCCATTTTGTCGATAATGTCCGGCAATTATCCATCTTGCCTTACTCATGTACACCTTGTGCTTCTTCAGAATAAGTACAGCAAACCTTGATGCTGTTGGTGGAGTTGATTACGTCACGATAGTGAACAGACAAATTACGTTTAGTCCCGGAGATCCAACAGTCAAGCTATCCCAGTTGTGATCCTGGAGGATAATATAATTGAAAACAACGAGAGATTTAAGGCGATATTAACCGCAGAGAATGGTGTCAATATTCAAACTGGTTTTAATACAACGATTGTAACCATCCAAGACAATGACGGTAAGTATATTTCAATTTTGTCAGATATCGCATCCCCTGCAGGAAACAAAACATATCAAAACATAAAATTTAACTTTAGTCCATAGAAACTTATCTACAGGTAAAAAGTTAGACACTTCGTAAATGTCTTCTTAGTGTACGCGCATGCGTATTTCGTCGCTAACGCATAAACAATTACTTAAAGGTTTCTGTGTTTTGATGGCCTCATCCAAAGCAGCGGGAATGTTTCGAAAGTTAAGAAAAGCGCGCGAAATACGAGCCAAAGCCACTCCCACTTCAGACTACGAACCAGTTATGAAATGTAATGATTTATATCGTTGTTTCTATTATGTAGCAGCAACTGTTTCCTTTGCACAGTCAGAGTATACGGTGAACGAAACAACATCCTCGGTTAAACTTTTCGTATTGTTAAGTGGAACAATTACTAAAAGCGTGACAGCTAGGTGAGAACTTTTTGGATTATTAAAAAAAGTAATAGATTTAAATGTCATAGAGCAACTTGCTCATTGTTCTATATGATTTTATGGTCGCGTTGACATTAATTTTATGTACATTTTTAGCATTGCATTTTCTATTAAGATGCACTTCGTTTTGATATTTTACTCTATGCATTTTATAAAAGTTTAAGGCTAATAATATGTATAAAGAAATGGGAATTAGGCTACAAACATGCATCCAGACATTTTGTCGATAATGTCTGATAATTATATCTTGCCTTACTCATGTACACCTTGTGCTTCTTCAGAATAAGTACAGCAAACCTTGATGCTGTTGGTGGAGTTGATTACGTCACGATAGTGAACAGACAAATTACGTTTAATCCTGGAGATCCAACAGTCCAAGTTATCCCAGTTGTGATCCTGGAGGATTATATAATTGAAAACAACGAGAGATTTAGGGCAATATTGACGGCAGAAAATGGTGTAAATATTCTGCCTGGTTTTAATACAACGATTGTAACCATCCAAGACAATGACGGTAAGCAGCTATATTTCAATTTTGTCAGATATCGCATGCCTTGCAGGAACAAAACATATCATTCAAACAAACCATATCAAAACATAAAATTTAACAATAATCCATTGAAACTTATCTAAACGTAAAAAGTTAGACACTTCGTGAATGTCTTCTTAGTGTACGCGCATGCGTATTTCGTCGCTAACGCATAAACAATTTATTAATGATTTATGTGTTTTGATGGCCTCATCCAAACAAACGGGAATGTTGATAAAGTTAAGAAAAGCACGCGAAACACGAGCTAAAGGAACTCCCACTTCAGAATACGAACTAATTATGAAATTTAATTATTTATATCGTTGTTTCTATCATGTAGCAGCAACTCTTTCCTTTGCACCATCGGAGTATACGGTGAACGAAGCAACATCCTCGGTTAAACTTTTCGTTTTGATAAATGGAACAATTACTAAAACCGTGACAGCTAGGTGAGAACTTTTTGAATTGTTAAAAAAAATGTAATTGACCTAAATGTCATAGAGCAACTTACTCATTGTTCTATATTATTTTATGTTCCGTTGACATTAATTTCATGTATATTGCCTTTCGTGTTTACAAACTCTCGAGAACAATAAAAATCGCTTGGTGAACAGTCTTGTGAATTCAATTATTTTCACGTGTTTGGAACCCCGGTAAAACACTCGCACTCGTTTATGAAATATTACTTATAGCATTGCATTTTCTGTTAAGATGCACTTCGTTTTGATATTTTACTCTATGCATTTTATAAAAGTTTAGGGCTATCAATATGTATAAAAGAAATGGGAATTAGGCTACAAACATGCATCCAGCCATTTTGTCGATAATGTCTGATAATTACATCTTGCCTTACTCGTGTACACCATGTGCTTCTTCAGAATAAGTACAGCAAACCTTGATGCTGTTGGTGGAGTTGATTACGTCACGATAGTGAACAGACAAATTACGTTTAGTCCTGGAGATCCAACAGTTCAAGTTATCCCAGTTGTGATCCTGGACGATAATATAATTGAATATAACGAGAGATTTAAGGCGATATTAACGGCAGAAAATGGTGTAAATATTCGGCCTGGTTATAATACAACGATTGTAACCATCCAAGACAATGACGGTAATTATATATCAATTTTATCAGATATAACATCCCTTGCAGGGAAGAAAATTTTTTACCATATCTTTGACCATTGTGCTTGATCTTTGACCATATCTTTAAACCAAAAAAAATCTGATACATTCTGCGCAGGATTACATTTGTTGTGGCATGGATCATTAGTTTGTAAAGATTCGGTAAAGGCAATAAATTATTTGAAAGGAGTTCCTAATAATATTAGGAAGTAGATTATTAGGGCAACTGTTAAACATGAAACGTTGAACAACCTAAGTCCTCCCAACTCCACTATTCCAACCTTTTGGATGATTTGCTTTTAACGCAGCTATTTGCATTAAGAAACCACATTTATATTTTCATTCTCGCACGCTGAACATAAAAAAATCGATTTTTGCAGGAGACGAATAACGTGTCACTATTAAATTTTTATTATAAGATATTGAGCATGGTTTACATATTGATTTTATTAACACAGAAAGAAAAGTACACAATTTATTAAGATAGCTTAGTTGAATTTATTCATTTTAGTGTGTCATGTGGCGGCAGAAAGTTTGCAACTTGTTGTGGCTGAAGGTAACAAAGATATTTTGTTTGTTTTCAAAGCAGCTGGAATGATAGAAAGGGATGTACAAGTAAGGTGAGTTTAAACGGCAATCGCTATAGCTATATAGGCTAGAAACAATAATTTATCACAATATTGTTATACAGCTATGGACTATACTATGACACGGCACATAAATTATATAGAAGCTATGGTTAGAATAAGATAACCGACTTTTTTTGTACCTCGTGGATATAACACGATTATGAGTTATATGATAACAAGATAAATATTATCTACCACTTATTAACCGAATTTGAGGTCCGTACTAGAAAAATATCAGACCGAGGTCTTGACAGTACGGACCGAGCGATAGCGAGGTCCGTATATAAAAGACCGAGGTCTGATATTTTTCCAGTACGGACCGAACGTATTCGGTTAAATAAGGGATTTATTATATGGCATACAGTATTTAGTTTATTTATTCATACAATGCGCTGCAGCATTCTTGCCGGCTCTTTCGCCAGCCAGTCGCCAAGCAAGCACTGAAGTGGCTTCCAAAACTTTGTTTTTTACCCGTTAAATAAGAATGATACAGCTAGTAATTTAAACAAAAATCAAAGATGAATAAATATAATATTCACATGTACCAAATAATGCTCTACCTCGTCCATTCTCCGTCGATATTTTTCGTGTCAAAAATAAAAGTACAAGCTTGTTTTTGTTCAAAAATATGAGAGTTGGACCGTTACTACGGCAACGGCCCAATACTGGGGGATTCCAGACCTGCAAAGAACCAATCAGCGCACGCTATTTTAGTCACGAGACCGCGTGCCATATAATAAATTATGTTATTGCATATTTACGGCAAGGTACATTTTTAAGTGTGCAAATTTCGAGTAGGTAGAAAAGCTCAGTATAATAATAAGCATATTTATTTCTGTTTAATGCAGTGCTTCGACGTATGATATTTCCGCATTTGCTGCACAAAATGACTATGTCGCGAAATCAGAAGTGGTGACCTTGCAACCAGATCGCGCTGAAGTCTCGTTTTTTGTTCGCGTCCTTAAAGATAACATCGTTGAGAATACGGAGAAATTCGGAATACGTGTCACAACATCTGACCCACAAGTGAATATTGTAAATGGAACTTTACTTGTTTCCATAACGGACGATGACAGTAAGTGTTAATATTAATGTTCGATTAAAGGCGCTGTTACACTTTGTAATTCTCCTTGCAACGCAAATCTATTTTTGAGGGATATAAACGGTTGGCAAATAATGGTTGTCTTCTCTATAATTATAATTACATGGAGTAGGAACTTGGTTTCTAGAATTGACAAAAAATTACAGGGGCGGATTTAGGAGGGGAGTGGTCAGGGTGTCTAGCCACCCCTTTTCCTCGCGTAATTTTTTTACCAAGCAGAATCGTAAAAATCATGTAGTATAACAATGTAGTATAAATGCATAAATTGGGGCATTTTTTAGCAAGGTTCAGATTTCACTACCGCAACCTTTCAAGAGACACAAATAGGTGGATAAAAGGCACGCAGCAATAGTGGTGGTAAGGAAGTTGGGTCTCAATCTTTCTACTTTCACCGCTGTGAAATTATCATGATAAAAATTCATCTGCATTTCTGTATTCACATTCTTACATAGATATTGCGAAGAAGTAGATGGTATGGAAACCTGCAATATTTTTTCTACTTCTGAAATTTGTTACAAAATTTACTTTTGAATTATTTTAGACACTGAAGAGTAGACCTAGACCCTTTCACGTAGAGCCCTCCAGCCATCCACTCTTGCCACCCCCCTTCCAGAAATCCGATAGTAATTTCATCACAATTATTTTTGTTATTCTTTAGAGATTACCTTATCCTTGGAACGGTCGGTCTATCGGGTAAAAGAAAATTTTAAGTTTGCAACCATCAAGGTAGTTGTGACGGGAGAAACAGCAGTGATTGTCACAGGGGGGTACGTATTTACTTTACTTTAGTGAATTTCCTAATTTTCCTTCTTATATTTCTATGAATGAAATAAAATAAAATAAAAACGAACAAACAAACATTGATCAACGGGAGTTAGAATTTTAGAAAGAGTATAAACGCGGTAACCAAACGTTTTATACATGTTAGTATTCTGTTGGATATGGACGCTATGTTGAATTGAGTTGCAATGTCGTGCTGGACCTGTCATGAGCATTGGTTTCCACTTTTTATAGTGTTTTGAAAACTGATGACGAAACAGCGGAGAATCCTGATGACTACACCTCCATATCCGAGGAACTTGTTATTGCACCTGGGGATCAGAGTAAAACTGTGAAAATTTTTCTTAAAAACGATCGGTTGACGGAAGGAACAGAAAATATTATCCTTGACTTAACAACAACAAACAAAAAACAAATTTCCATCCTAAAAAGCTCAGCTCTTTTGCTGATCCAAGATGACGATGGCAAAGTATCTGACTTTGTCAAATTTTGAAAAAAATGTTTATTCCCTAATTTTCGCTGGATAAGTTATACAAAAAGAGTGCGATGAGATCTCTTTACTCAAAATTCGGATACAAACGAAGCTTTTTCAAATTTTGTTGGGAGTAAATCTTAGTAAACTCGCAGCAGGTCCTTTGCATGTCCACATTCGTCACAATACTGCATTGAAGTAATCGATAAAGCTTTTATTATATCATTGAGTGTTATAATTATAATTAGCAATATATATAGAGTTTTACGCCACCGAGAAATATCGTGTTTAAACACACGTAAGAATAAGATATTTTAACGTAAAAATATCATTTTCGAAAGCCAATCAAAAACCGCGTAAGGAATGTGTTTGACCAATCACAAAATCTTTCAAGTTCACAGTTTCTGTTTGTTTTTTATTTCATACCATATTTATACACACGTTTTAGACAGACTATAAATATAAGCGCATTTTACTGAACATTATTATTTTCAATGTGTTCCCTTCAATACATATTAATTTTGTTTTCGAGTTACTAAGAATTCTCGTTTGCTTATAATCTGTTCATATAATAAACAGAATATTACATTGTTGCTTGGGAATATGGATTTACTCGAAATAAATTCCATGTTTCCGCGTAACCATATAATATTCTCTATTTACAATACTTGCGTTAGAGTCGGGGTAATCTAAAGTTTGAGAGATCCATGAAATTTATCCCAGTAAAATACTCTGTCATAGAAATCTAAGCAACTAGGATAGCACGATGCCTTATCTGGATGATCTTGTGTGGTTGATTTTTAAGTGGATATATCTATTATTTTATGTGTTAACGTAGGTCCATCCAATGCAGAAACCACATCAGAGAGTAACACTGGCGTCATTGCTGGCGTCGTTGTTGCAGCTATGGTTGTCTTGGTCATAGCTGTTGCCATCTTCGCTTGCTATGTTAATAAAAAAGGACTAAAGGAGAAAAAACCCGCAGAAGTGCCTCCTGTTAGCAATCCAGTTTTTGAACCTAACATCGAAGTTGACACGGACACCGACACAGAAGCTCACACGGACGTTGACGAAGAAACTAACAGAAATTCCACAGGCGTAACAAATACTAATGATGGCTACTATGAGGACCGACCAAAAATTTATAAAGAACTCGGGGAGAGAGAGCCTGATGAGCGAAATTATCAGCCTTTAATTACTCCAGGTTATGAGCTGCTAGACAGAGATCCCCATGAAAACGACGTGGATAAGTATGCCAAATTAGTCAAAGATAATGACCAAATCCCATACGAAATAATGCCTTATTACAACGAGAAAAAACCCACAGAAGTGCCTTCTGTTAGCAATCCAGTTTTTGAACCTAACATCGAAGTTGGCACAGACACTGACACAGAAGGTCACACGGACGTTGACGAAGAAACTAACAGAAATCCCACAGGCGTAACAAATACTAATAATGGCTTCTATGAAGACCGACCAAACATTTATAAAGAACTCGGGGAGAGAGAGCCTGATGAGCGAAATTATCAGCCTTTAATTACTCCAGGTTATGAGCTGCTAGACAGAGATCCCCATGAAAACGACGTGGATAAGTATGCCAAATTGGCCAAAGATAATGACCAAATCGCATACGAAATAATGCCTTATTACAATATGGAATCATAAGCACGCATCACGCGACCTAAGTTAATATTATGAAATGACTATATTATATATGACTATATTATACTAATTTTTCCCGAGTATATTACAGCTAATGCTTCCCCATCATTCAACACAAAAATAATGATAAAGCTAATGTAAATATTCCCCGTTCAATTTTGCTATATTATACCACGGCAGCATTAAGTAATGGTTTAAAATCGATGTTTCAAACGACTAAAACAGTAGAAATATTTTTATACTTTAATATAGTGTGTATTTTTAATATCAAACTTCAAATTAAACGATCAAAAACACTTTTTAAAGTTAAAGCAAAAGTGTAATAGCCTTTTACAAGTGTATGCGTTTACATTAAACAAATAAACGGCATAGAAAGCTGAAAATTATACAAATACTGCTCGTTCTTACTGTGAAGCAAATACGAAAGAAACCAAGTAAACACGTACCTATTGAAAACAGTTATAAGCTTGCAGATTATGAATTATTTCTCTTACACGGCTTTGTCTTGACTGTATATATGTTCATCTTTGCTATCTTTCATGCTTTATGTATCTTGTTTCTTCTCGTTTTATTTTGCACAAAGTTTATGAAACGCTTTTAAAAAAAGGTTTATGAAATAACAATTAAATTGCTGACGTTCTCATTGAAATAAAAACTTTCTGTCTTAGCCAATCAGAACGTTTGTAGATTACCAGTCGCATGCGCATAACTTATAAAACCACCCGACGTCGACCGTCCATGACATAGAATTTAGACAACTTTGGATTCCGCTATGTTCTCCCGGGTTCCGGGTGTAATTCGAGCGGAATTAGTACCTAATCTCCGAGCGGAATTAGTACACTCGCAGGAGCTCTGCGCCCGCTCGCGGGTATACAATACTAATATACATACTAATTGCCATTTTCATGTAATATGCATTCTAAAACATTTCCAGTTTTATCGTTTAGTTTTCGTTTAGCAATTGCATGCATCCAGCAGAAATTTTGGCACGGTATGGGTCACGCAATATTAATGTTTTTATCATATTCATTTTGAAATCAATGGTATTACTTGCAATCTGATTGGTTAAAAATAGTGTGATTAACTCCCAAATCACACTATTTTTTAGCATTAATCACATCATGTATAAGCCAATAAGATTGAAGCTCTGCACCATAATAGCCAGTCAGATTTAGTATTTTAGTGTAACTATCCAATCAAATAAGTTGTCCAAATACGTTTATTAGTACTAGGCAAAATTACAATAATCGATCATGGATTAAAACTAAGTATAACAGTTCTACATACTATTTACAAAAACAACTTAACTAGACTCCCTAATGTTCGAGTTCCATTCACAAAAAGTAATGTCATTAGTTGATGTCATGGGGCGGCGCAGTTCTCTAATTTCGACTGCCACGAACACACACCACGCGAGCTCTAAGAAAAGCAAAGGCGATCTTTCGTCGTAACAAGCTAACCACCATAGATGGCGAATGATTCACGTATTACTGGTCATGTTTATATTTTTCTCGCGACAAAATTTTGTGATGCAAGTTTCAAAACGTGCAGCAAAAAGTGGAACTTTGCTCTACTTTTCGGAAAATATTATAATCATGTTACGCAACATATTTCAGATAAGATGGCGGACGATTTGAGAGCGA